TGTCTAAATATGGAGAGATATTTGCCAGCCACTTGAGTGGAATATATACTACCTATTCTGGCAGAGCAGGCAATTTCGAGACAGAAAATAAGTGCTTTAAAATTTCCACCCTTTAAGAGAAACAAAATATATAATCCGTCCACTCTGGGTTCAATTAAAATCTTTATTTATTCCAAACAGCAGCTGAAACAATGGAAATAGTATATATGAAACTGAAACAATTCCCAGGCTTTGCTGAGCGATTATCCAGCTCAGAATGACTCATTGTTTTGGGAAGAATAAAAGGCAGACAGCAGCAATTTCCAATCCATTTTCTAATCAAATTCAACTCTGACTGACTGACACAGTTCAATGCCTTCGAATTGATTTGCCAGGCTGAAATGGAGTGCTTTCATTTCGTTTAAGCTTAATTGAATTGTCACTGGCTAGTATTTGATAGTACATCCCTTTTCCCCTTAGCCATTATGCACTTAGCTAAGTAATTCATCACGTATACGCACCGTTTGCTAATTACTCGAAACATGTTCTGCAACAATTAAAAACAAACTCACTGGCTGGAACTCAAAAGGCAAACTTGGTCCGGCTGAAAGTTTGCTGCTTATCCGGCAGGCAAGCTGTCAAAACGGTAAGACGGCTGCAAGAGGCAAAAGTTGGCAACAACAGATGCAGTTAAACCGAAATGTCTTTGTGCCTGCCTTTATACTTACGCCAAGTGCAATTGTCAAGCGAGGGCAGAGCTGAAATGAAATTTCCGCGAACTTTCAGGGGTCACCGGAGCGGAGCACTCGAGTTACTCTCAGGGAAAACATTTAGAATTGCTTAAAAACGAAGCTCAAGCGCAGTTTTATGTACAGGCCAAAAAGCAGATATACCAAATAATACCAACTAAATACTGTAAGTACGGAACTCAGGGTAAAGCAAGGCAAAGCAAGAGGGGGGAAGCACAAGGCAGCATCATCATCATCATCAAAGCACAATAATCATCATCAACATCAACGAGTCGGGGGAGGATCGTAGTTGAGTCGGGAAAGCTTCGGCGGTTTGGGGGGAAATCGGTTGCGGGGAAAATAAAACACAATCGACTTTTTTGTAGTTTTGTTTTTTTTTTTTTTTTTTTAGAGAGAGGGTAGTTTTCTCCGCTAAGGATTTTCAAAGTTTACTTTTATTTAGAGAAGTTCCTTTAATGATAATCATACTTATGCTTTTTGGATTTTGTTTTTCTTTTCGTCAATTTGCTTTTTGCTTTTCTTCTTGTTGTGTTTTCATTTTCATTTTGTTTAGTAGATGTTGTTTAACAGCTAAATACATGTTCGTTATATCGTACTATTTGAGTTTCGTGTTTGCTTCCTTCCGGTGTACTCCTTCCTCTCACCTCATCGTGTGTTTTGTTTGTTTTGTTTTGTTGTATGCTTATTTTGCTTTGCTGCGTTAAAATTCTCTTACTAGCTAAGTTCTTCGCTTGGTTTTTTGTCTAAATTATAATTGTTTGGTTTGGTTTGGTATTTGGTTTCTGGTTTCGCCTTCGATGTAGTTCGGCACCGTGCTTGTTGTTTGTCAAAGTTCGCAATTCGACAAGTTTAAGAATCAATCATATCGTAAAGTTTCATAATCGTAACCTATATGTCCATATATCTTAGAAGTACGTGACTTAATACCCTAAATTGTAACAATAATGTTTTTTCTATTTATTTTCCCACTGGAAATGGTACACACATTTAATGAATACACATAGTAATATTTGCCATATATCGTATCTTTTATATTGAGTTATGCTTGTAATCGGTAATATTCTGGTTTGCCCATATATAATTTAAACACTTGCAATGAACGGTAACACCAACTTACGGCCTAGAGAATCGTGTACTCAGCTTGACTCCTGACTCTTGCCTGGCAACGCTCTTGTTCTGCTCTGCTCAAGGCAGCTTTTGGCACATGCTGTACTTCCGCTTCTGTGCAATCGTCAACTGACTGGCTTATCTGCTACGTTTTGTAATTGAGTTCGCGTCGTTTCATATAACTTGCTATAACTTGTGGTGTAATATTTCTCTGGTATATATATTAGGGTTTTAATGGGTATTTTTAATTTTAACATTTATATAGTCGCATATTTGTATGCTTAAAGTTTCTGAAAAAATGACTAAGCCTATCCTTCAGTTAACACTCCCTTTTGTTCCGTCTTTCCTTTCACAAATGACCCTCAACATTAATTTTTCTATGGTTTGCCTTTTGAGACTAATTGTAATACGAATGTTAATTAACGATTTTCGATTAAATACTGACAAAGTGCAAGTACGTCTAGCGGGTAACATCGAGCCGTGCCCCAGACTCAGTCCAAGCGGTGCGAAACTCGTATGATATCAAATCGAAGGAGACTTCTCAAGAACTTATCCTCATCTGGCGGGCGACACTTGTTCAATTTTGGTGGCACCCTCACACCCCTTTGGCCAGGACTCCATGCCCGGTTACTCGGCGTGCTTAGTGCGCTCTTGAACGCGTGTACAGTCCCGCCCGGGAAACTCTAGCTAACGGGAATTTGGTAAACTGTACTCAGTCTGGACTGAGCTTGAGGCACAGGACTTAGTTGCCCTTGGGTACAAGACTATACATTTATATATATATTTACTTAACCTTGAACTTTATGCTTTGATTTCAACTTCCAACCAGACGTCCTTCCTCTGGGGATGTGGAGCATGCAAGTGAATGCTGGCCACACTGAGCGATCCACATCCCAAGGCATTCCGACTGTCTGTGAAGGCTGGCTACGCTCTAGGAACAAGGCCAGCCTTCATTCCTTTTGATTATACTTCCTCTGAATCGTATCCCTAATATGACCTTCTATTATCAGGGGATATAGTACTTCGATTAATATTATTTTCTGTAACCACCAATACCTTAATTTAGTTTTGTGTGTTTGTTCTGCTCAATTTTGAGTTGCAGCTTCTTTGTTCTCGGGTTGGAGACACTCGGTCTTTGCCATCGGGAGGTTTGATGTTCGATTTTTATGCAGCGGTCTGCTACTTTGTGCTTCGTCTTCAGGGCCCAAGGAGTTCGTTGTCGGTGTGTGGGCAACCGTTGGGCTCCTTGGCTTGGGTTCCCTAGATCTTCCTTTGGTCTCTTCTTAAGATTAACCTCTAGGACTTTGCTATTGTGTTCTGATTCGTGTAATTCTCAGGGTTTTCCACTCCACTTTTCTTCCATTCGTTCCTCCGCATAGTTCTTCTGAATCTGCTTCGCTTGCTGCATATTTGTTAGTTTTCTTTTCTGTTTGTTGTTTTTCGAGTTGAGTTGCTGAGTTTTGCGCGACTTACTTATATTTAACTTTACGCTCTCTGCTCAACTGGCTAAATTGTCCTCAACTTAACTTTAACATTAAATGTGCTCGCTTTAGTCGCTACATTTTGGGATTATTTTCATTTAAGTTCTGTTTCATTTATATTTTATTTTTTTTACCTCAGTTTGTCGTTTCACTAATTTTATGTATGTGTCGTGTGGAATGTGTTGTGTTTTGATTGTTGTCTTTTCTCATCTTCTTGTTCATCCAAAAACGTGAAAACAAATGCCTAAGTTGTTAATGGAAATTATTGCGAAAAGCTGAACTTAGCATTTCATTAACGTAAACCCATAAAATTTACCTTTGCTAGATATTTTTTATGACTTCCTTCGATCAGCTGAACAGCGCCTTGTTTTTGTTTTTTGTTTTGTTTTGGGTTCGGCCACTGGGGCACGACCTTCAATATCGTATAATAGTTAATAATATAATATAGTTTACTCTTGTTCGTTTTTGGTTTGTCAAGTCCATTCTGCAGTTACGCATTTAACATATAAAGTTTCAGCTGACTTTCATGGATCTGCCTAAAGTATGTCTCGCTAAGCTGCGTCAACTATGTATGATCCATACAAATATTCTGGGGTCTACTTCAATAGTTAGTTGTTCTCGTATCTTCAGTGTCTTGTGTATGTTGTCTGCGTATATAATAATATCCCGCTAGGTAATTGTAAACATATCAGTTAAAACTAAATACAATATTATCATCGTCCTCGAGTAACTACAGCGTCTGCCTTTAAATAGCTCGTTTGCCTAGCATATAACTTTATACGTATGCTTGTTGTATATAAAATTATATTATCCGTATATCCGTAATACTATATATTGAATTGAGTAAACACAACTAAATCTGCTGCTTTGTTTGCGTTTGCCTGACTACCAAATTAAGAAGCGCTACTCAAAATACAAATCTACTTAAGGAGTTACCCTTGATCTTAATCGGATTCCTGGGAATCATGGAGAAGTGGTCTCTAAACACACATGTATTTATCTTTCTATCGGTTCTCCGGGTTTTCGTTTCGAGGGTTAGTTTCTTAGGCAAGCGTTGGAGGAGAAACCTTTGAGAAAAGCTTGTAGATCTATTGGTTTCGCTTGGGGTGTTCTGGGCGTTTCTAAGGCTTCTTGAGTTGAGTCTACAGATGATGGGTGGGTTACATTTATCGGGCCTTCGACATTAAACTGCCTTTATCCCTTTCTTGTTCATGACTGATATGATTGAGTTAGCTTTGTCGACTACTGTGTTGTTTTTAGTTTTGGTTTCGGTTACGGTTTCGGTTTCGGTTCGGGTGGGATTGGATGATGGGATGTGATGGCGATGATGATGGGTGCAGAGAAAACATAGCGATATAAAAACGAAACTTCTAAGAATGTATAGAATGGCATGCAGTAACGACTAGGAACGATAGCTAGAAAGAACGTAGAGGGATGAACGAGCGAGTAGAGTAGTAGAAGAAAAAGAGTCGAGCGTAAAACGACGATAGAGGAACGGCGATAGATCGACAACGATGAGGAGCGCACGATGATGAATCGAGTTCGTGAGAATCGAGTAGCGAGTAAAGAGTATCGAGTAACGAGTAGCGAGTAATAGCGAGTGTCTACCACTCGCTTGTTCTGGCTGAGGTTCCTCTGCTCTCGTTCTGCTTTCGGCTGTCTAAGTTCACACAGATGCTTTGGCTGTGGTTCGCTGCTTCCACTACGCAGCGAATTTTGATTAATTTTATTGAGATGAGATTGTAAGAGTGCGGGCATAATTTTCACAACTTAAGCCTAGATCGAACTCATACCAAGCAGCGCACCCGATGTCCTTCGCCGTCGCCTTCACTGTCGCCATTCCATTGCCCCCTCAGTGCCACCTTCTGCGGCGGTAGGTCACCTGTTCGTTGACCAGCTGCCAGAACTTGGCATTTAGCCACAGGACGAACAGCAGTAGCTGCAGGAGCAGCGGCCATTGCTGCAGCTCGTACCGTGTCCTTCGCACCAATCGCTGCAGGCGACCGCCGCCCCTCTTCCCCACGCCGCCCATCGATCGCTCCTCCGGCGGCTCATAGCTAAGGTTGTAGTTGTAGTAGTAATAGTAGTTGTTATTATAGTGCTGCATCTCCACAGGCACTAGATCTAGGGAATCATCCCGCCCCGAAACTTGGCTGCTACATCGGATGTGGTTCTGGTTGTGGTTATGGTTATGGTTGTGACTGTGACTGTGGTCTTCTAATTGCTGTCGAGGCTGTTCTTCAACATTACTAAATCGATCGGCTGTGGCCGGTGTTGCTGTAGTTGTTGTTATTGTTGTGGCATGAGTCGTGGAATGGGTTGCATTATTGTTGTTTGGCTGGTTATCATAGTTATGGCGGTATTTCTGTGGTTTACGATAATATTACATGATAACGCATTTGCCCTTTTCGGCCCACGGATTGTTCTTTTTATCCGGGGCGTTGATCAAGGGATCATTCTTCTCGTTCTCCTCGATGAACGAGCGCATTCTATAAAAAAACAAAATTGAACAATAGTTATTTATTAGAATTTAAACAGAGACAAGTTTTCCCAAGTCTTAATTTAAAGTAAGTAAATATTAAAGCTTTATTTGCCCCTCATTTTCAGTTCATAAACCGGCTTAAATTAATGTTTTAAAATAAAGTTTTGCCAAAAACAACTTTCCTTATTTATTTGCCAAGGGAAGACAAATATTTCGCCCACATCTGCTTACTCTTTAATGTTATAATAACAATAACATTGTTAAGCTTGTTTAAAAAAGAAATATACCCTTATAGTTTTGTTTTTATTATGGCACACATAATCCCTTTTCCTGGACTTTACATTTTATAACATTTCGTTCACCTTTACCTTGTGACTGAACCGAGTCCCAACAATTTCATTTGGTAATCTCGTTCTTTAAAGCTCATAAAATGAGTAAGCTCTCAGTTAGCCTTAGTGAGAAATCAAGACATTTTAAAGGACTAAATACAAAAAAGAATGGGGACATCCATCCGCACTTAAAGCTAAGCGGACATAAACTTATACCTCACGTCTGGCGGAGCGAAAAGGTTGGATTCGGGATGGGGTCCCGACGAATAGAAGAGGACAGCAGATTTTATGCTAATCCACTCGCAGATGGACATTAAAAATGTTTGAACACTTTGCACGCGCCAAGGAAACTAACGATTTTCCGTGCTGGCTTCCTCTTCCCCTTCTGGGTCCTGAAAAATATTCGCATATAAATTTTCAGCGTTGTTGGCCCGCTGCCTCTGTTGTTTCTTGTTGTAATACGCTTATCCTTTAGGGCCATAAAAATGGTTGCCCTGTCGTTTGCATTTGTCTCACACTTTATTCCCGGCCTGTCTTCTTTCCGTCTTCTGTTTATCTGTTTTTATTTCAGACAAAAGATTTCGTACTCTACTTTTTCTTCCCATTTTATTTGCTGAATTTGCAAGAATTTATTTATTTAAAGGGCGTTTCCGCGAGTAGAACGCGTCCCTCAAATAGACACTTTGAGCGACAGTCGTCTGCTGCGAATGAGTTTTGCATTTCAATTTTGTTAGTTTGCAACTTTTCTGTCCTCGTGCTCCACTTTTAAATTCCTGTTTCTAGGATCACAAAACGCGAAGTATTCGTCATTGCTTTCTTGTTAATAAGACTTGGGGAAAGTTGTTGAATTAAGAGAGCAGAAGTGCTATTTACTCATTCTGGGAAAACTTTCCTCTGGCAAAAAGTCGGAGGAACAAGTTAAATGAGAGAGTATGGAAATCGAGGAAAGTTTTAAGACAAGGTATTGCATTAAATAAACAGCATTAAATATTCGTAAAATATTTAATTTTAGAGATTAAGTGTAGCATAAATTTTATTTTAATTTAAATCATTTTCCTTTCTATTACCCAGCTTTACCCAAGCAAAATGAGTTTTTAGAATTTTTATAATAAATATAAAGTACGCTTCGGAGAATTTTCCATTTTCACGGTAAGTGCTTCCATCGATTTGCAGTAAAATATAAATACCAAACACTTCTTAGCACTCGTAATTACTTATTAGTTTTCCAAAGAACACCCAAGTTATATTTAGTTTGCAGAACAATAGTATTCCGCTTTCTCGATAAGTATTTAACTTGAACTAAATAATTGAGGCAACAATTTTTCAACTATTTTATTCAATTCGAATGATAAGTTGTCCTGGGAAATCCATGCAAATGTTTGTCTTTTGTGCTGCTCAAATCACGCAAACCGATTCCGAAGAAAATGGAGACTAGGAGGAAGACGAAGAAGCCCCGGGCACTTTCCTCCACTTTTCCCATAACCCAGTAAATAAATACTTCAATTGACCATTCGTCTGGGTTGCTTTCTGCACTTTCCGGCGAGGCAATTGCATATTCAACTGATGGCTACATTTTGTGGCTTTATTTATTGGACAAATGTTTTCCTTTGGCTTCTTGGCCAAAAGCTGCAGCTGTTGTTTGCCTTTAAAGGGGGCCAGGACCCGTCCTCGCTCTTCCTTTTCCGCTTGGCGTGATTATAATTTATTTTATTTTGGCTCTTCGGGTGTGCGCTTTCATTTGACCGCAAAATTGCTTAAAACATCTTGCGGTCGCTTTGATGTCCTGTTTGTTGTTGATTTAATGTAAGGATTTGCCTGGCTAAAAGTGCACGCATGCGGTGGAGTTGTTTGCCATCATTAGTTTTGATTGTTCCGACCAAACCTGAAACCCCTTCTCTACTGATTGTTCCTGCCGTGCGCTCAATTATCAAAATGCCAAGGTGTGCGACCAGACCACGCCCCCCCTCGCCTGTACGCCCGGCAGCCTACCTGCCTGGGCCGTGTAACAGTGGGCGTGGCATGTATGCATAATTTAACTTAACAAGACCTTGTCGTCGGCAGCTATGTCCTTGTTACCTCGGTGTCGTTATCCTGTGTGCATGTCTACGTAAAGCTGTGTGTGTGCGTTGAATTTTCTCTATTTCCTTGCTCATTTTCCGCATCAACAGAGCAAAAGGCAATGTCATGCGGGGCTCCGAGTCCTTCCCCACGAAGGACTGCCTAAAACAATGCCTCCTGCAGCCAACAGCCCCGCCTTGCTCGTGCTTGCCATGGCTAATGGGCTTATGACTTTGCGGTTTCAGCCCGTGCAGCCGGGAAAACTGAGCCACACAAACACACTCACAGCGAACGAGAGGGAAAAATGAAAATCCACAGAGCTTAGAAAATATTCTTTTCGGTTTTCTGTTCTGTTTTCTCTGCTCTCTTTTTTTCGGGGTAAACAAAGGCCAAGGGTTTCCAGAGGTTCGAGATTCTGTTCGGCTGCCAAGGCCGGTAAACAAAGTTGTTATGATGACGTTGGATCTTTGGCAGCCGAAAAGTAAATTTTTGGGAAACTTTGTCAGCTCAGGCACCACCCACCGCTGAACCCAGGGTTATGGAGTCCAGCTTGGCGCCTTCCGATAAGAAGACCCTGTGAGCCAGCGTGATGCTCAACATGCATTTTTAATGAGAGCATTAAAGGGGAATATCGGAACCCCGATTAGGAAGGGTAAAGAACAAAAGGAATCTGGGTAAAAACCAAGGTATAAAAAAGGTAAAAAAATACCCGGCTTTAGGTTCCTTAAAAGCCTTGCCTATTTTTTGGCGGTTTCTTTATTTATTTTCTTCTAACGATTAACACTTAAAGCTATCTTGGCTTAACCTTCCCAAGAGTTTTAATTGGTTTAATATATATGAATAGTAAATGTTCACTATTGTTCTTACATTTTTCGCAATTAAAATGTAAGGACCACTTTAATTTAAGTAGTTCTTCCAAGACCCTCAAATCAGAGAAATAGTCAAAGGCATTTCTCTGTGAACTCGCTTCTGGCTTCGGGGCCTCCTTAGGCCCATAAGTTGTGTATGACATCATTAGCATCTGTGATGAGTTTCCCTTGTTTTTTTGGTGGCAACTTTCCTCATAACACAAGCGGGGTAATGGGGACGAACGCAAGTGTAAGTAGACGAAGTGCCGCAGGGACATAAAAAAGTTTTATTCGACATCTGCATTTAATTTGAGTGCTTCAGCCGAACATCAAGGAAGAAGGAGAGCCTGATGGCACGGCAAAGCCGAATGACGAACGAACAGGTTGAGTACTCCTCTCAAACTGCCATTCAGCGGCGAACACATTGAAAACTAATTCAGTAGCCGTTAATTTAACATGTGAAGCACGAGGACAGCCTGGGTGGCTCGGTTCCCTTCCGACCGCATAACCACATGGCCATGTGGACCATGCTGGGCTTTTATGTGCTAATTGAAAGTCCTGCCATTTGCCATTCTCCAAACCTCCTTCTTCTACCCTTAGATGTTGGTATATACTTCCCGGACTGAATAATTGTAAGAGCCTGAAATGAAAAGTCATTTGGACGCACTTCCCGACATCACCGAGGGCCTGACATCGTTTTGCTTTTAGGGTTAGGCGAATTAATGTTTTGTGGCAAGCTGTGAAGGGGCAACAAAACCACAAATGTCTGAGCCCTAAGATGGAAATTCATTAATAATAGCAAGGATTAATAATGCAAAGAAGCCGTGTGTATTGAATGCATTTACTCATCTTGTCATTCTCTCTTACCTTTGATTAAATCAATTGTAATTTACATTTGGTATAGATTACTTTCCAGAACATAAGAATAATTAGAGCAGTTGATTACTCGAGCTAAAATAAAAGCTTCAATAAGACAAAATCAAGAATTTACTGAAACAACTGACAATTAATTTCTACAACAGACTTTGACCTGATGTCTAATGTAAAATTAATTGACATTTTAAGGACACATTCACTCATATGTCTTTACACACATTTAATTTATGGTCTCCACGAAATCATATTAAACCTAAACGACAATTTAGCTGTTGTTTCGATTAATGAAGTTATTTGTCCTATCTCACCGAATTAAATTCCGATCTAAGGGTCTAATTCACCGACATCAATCCGGGCACACGCTCAATCTATAATTAAACGCCAGGGCTCTCTCTCTACCTTCGGTGGGTTTTGCTACCTTTTCTGCTCTGTCAGCTGGCACAAAAAATAACATAAACACGATGTAAATGTTGATTTATGACAGCCGCAAGCACACACACATACCCAATCCCAATCACACGCAATCTTAAGCGCCCGAAAGCATGCTACAAAGAGCATTATTTATCGATGGCAGCCGCAGCAAGAGCAGAAGGCGGACCGCCGGTCGTTCGCATTTAAAAGCAGATAGCTTGAATCCAGCCACAGCAGCTACAAAATTAGAATTGCCTGTTTTTCCATAAGCCGGTGAGCTCAACCGAAGCCCCCGGAAAACCACCGAAAAACCACCCCGACTGCTGTCACCGCTCCCACATACATTTCATATTCAGCTTGGGTAAACAAAATGCGTCAGCCACATGTCAATTTGCATCTGCGTGTGTTTTTCTGAGTGTGTTCCAGTGCGACACAGAGTGTGTGTGTGTGTGTGTGTGTGTGTGTCTTTATCTCAGGATTTCTCT